GAGGCTATTTGAGCCACTTCCCCGACGGCAACTCGGATGGTAATCTTGGGCATAGCATTTCACCAAATCACCTCATTCTTTGGGGCACACGTGAGGAACACAAATGCGAACAAGCCTGAATGGTCCCCAGGACTATATGCGAATGAAAACTCACACCCCAGAAGTGACTCGAACCCATACTCCCAGAAGCAACGCAACTGGTAACTACAGGGCGCCTTAATCCGCTTGACTATCACGGCCGTCAAAAGGAAGTGATAGCCGAGGCTATTTGAGCCACTTCCCCGACGGCAACTCGGATGGTAATCTTGGGCATAGCATTTCACCAAATCACCTCATTCTTTGGGGCACACGTGAGGAACACAAATGCGAACAAGCCTGAATGGTCCCCAGGACTATATGCGAATGAAAACTCACACCCCAGAAGTGACTCGAACCCATACTCCCAGAAGCAACGCAACTGGTAACTACAGGGCGCCTTAATCCGCTTGACCATCACGGCCGTCAAAAGGAAGTGATAGCCGAGGCTATTTGAGCCACTTCCCCGACGGCAACTCGGATGGTAATCTTGGGCATAGCATTTCACCAAATCACCTCATTCTTTGGGGCACACGTGAGGAACACAAATGCGAACAAGCCTGAATGGTCCCCAGGACTATATGCGAATGAAAACTCACACCCCAGAAGTGACTCGAACCCATACTCCCAGAAGCAACGCAACTGGTAACTACAGGGGCGCCTTAATCCGCTTGACCATCACGGATGGTCAAGCGGATTAAGGCGCCCCTGTAGTTACCAGTTGCGTTGCTTCTGGGAGTATGGGTTCGAGTCACTTCTGGGGTGTGAGTTTTCATTCGCATATAGTCCTGGGGACCATTCAGGCTTGTTCGCATTTGTGTTCCTCACGTGTGCCCCAAAGAATGAGGTGATTTGGTGAAATGCTATGCCCAAGATTACCATCCGAGTTGCCGTCGGGGAAGTGGCTCAAATAGCCTCGGCTATCACTTCCTTTTGACGGCCGTGATGGTCAAGCGGATTCAGGCGCCCTGTAGTTACCAGTTGCGTTGCTTCTGGGAGTATGGGTTCGAGTCACTTCTGGGGTGTGAGTTTTCATTCGCATATAGTCCTGGGGACCATTCAGGCTTGTTCGCATTTGTGTTCCTCACGTGTGCCCCAAAGAATGAGGTGATTTGGTGAAATGCTATGCCCAAGATTACCATCCGAGTTGCCGTCGGGGAAGTGGCTCAAATAGCCTCGGCTATCACTTCCTTTTGACGGCCGTGATGGTCAAGCGGATTAAGGCGCCCTGTAGTTACCAGTTGCGTTGCTTCTGGGAGTATGGGTTCGAGTCACTTCTGGGGTGTGAGTTTTCATTCGCATATAGTCCTGGGGACCATTCAGGCTTGTTCGCATTTGTGTTCCTCACGTGTGCCCCAAAGAATGAGGTGATTTGGTGAAATGCTATGCCCAAGATTACCATCCGAGTTGCCGTCGGGGAAGTGGCTCAAATAGCCTCGGCTATCACTTCCTTTTGACGGCCGTGATGGTCAAGCGGATTAAGGCGCCCTGTAGTTACCAGTTGCGTTGCTTCTGGGAGTATGGGTTCGAGTCACTTCTGGGGTGTGAGTTTTCATTCGCATATAGTCCTGGGGACCATTCAGGCTTGTTCGCATTTGTGTTCCTCACGTGTGCCCCAAAGAATGAGGTGATTTGGTGAAATGCTATGCCCAAGATTACCATCCGAGTTGACGTCGGGGAAGTGGCTCAAATAGCCTCGGCTATCACTTCCTTTTGACGGCCGTGATGGTCAAGCGGATTAAGGCGCCCTGTAGTTACCAGTTGCGTTGCTTCTGGGAGTATGGGTTCGAGTCACTTCTGGGGTGTGAGTTTTCATTCATATATATATATATATATATATATATATATATATATATATATATATATATATATATATATATATATATATATATATATATATATATATAATCAGTTGTGTAGGCAAAGTTCAAAGCTCCTGATTCCAGCCTCTTATGCACGAGTTCATTTTTTTGTGGAGATATATACAAAAGTTGGTACATTCTTATACAACCACTAGTACGGGACGTAACATTTCGGGCAAGTTCTTAATTCTATGGTCCCTGGAATACGACTCCCACGAAGAATAGTTTTTACAACCAAGTGCTCAATTTACTGTTGCGTTAAACAGAGGCTACAGTTAAGGATTTACGCCCAGTAAATCCTCCCCGACCAAGATTGACAAAGCGCAAGCGGAACGCGGAAATGTTAGCTGATTTATGCATATTGACACAATGACCAGCTTATCTCCTGGCTTTTTGTAATATTTACCTTTGAACCCATTTACATGTGCTGGCATATGTATATCTTATTTATTCGTGAATACTTAAATATTAACGTGTGTGTATGTGTGCGTGTGCGTGCGCCAGTGTCCAAGAAGGGTGGGCGGGGTACTGTGGAACTATTTCAGTACTCACAGTACTAGGATGCAAACTATGCTGTTGCTACCACCTGGTGTAAGCCTCAGTAGTGCCAAGCATCACCCAATATCACACATCGTGGGAGATACACAGCTGATGCCTGCTTATCTCTCAATAAAGATTATACACATATTTAAAATAACCATCGGCGAATCATTCAAGGAGTTGAGAACTTGTAGAGGAATTGAGGATGGAAGAGAGGAAGTTGAATGTGTGATGGGCAGGCATTCAATGTCCGCCTGAAGCCTTATTCTAAAGGTCCCCATTTGTGGTCATGTCTCCTCTGCTCCTTGACACAGTTTTTCTTTTTTATTTTGCATTATCGTGCGGTGTGTGCAAGACTTTGTTGAGTTCTACGTAAGTTTAAGCAGGTTACATACAATGAATTCAGTTCTAGATAGACGGGGATCGTTATTATGGGATTTATGCAAGTTTTCAAGTACAATTTTAAGATGCATATTTTATATGCAGGAACCCTTTGTCTAATAAGGTAAATTTAATTTATAGAAAATCTGTTTTTATGAAATATGATGCATATATTCATTGTGTGTGTGGGGGGGGGGGGGGGGCGGGGCGGGGACAGGCAGCCGGAGTGTAGGCTTAGGCTTATATTGATGTTCCCCCCCCCCCCAAGAAGGAATTACTGACCCCGCCCAGGATGCAACCCCACAACAAGCTGACTAACTCCTGGGTACCTACTTACTGCTAGGTGAACAGAAGCATTCGGTAATAGGAAATGCACCCCAGTATTTCTGTCCCGCCCAGATTTTTTACCTGGAATTCTCGATTGTGAGTCGAGAACGAACTCTACTCCACTACTGCAGCCCGTCCTCATATACAAAGATCCAAGCTCGTTAATACAGCTGCCAAGCCTCCTGTTTATGAATGAAAAATGGTTTATACACAATTCACAACTGATGACTTCGAACGCTTCAGGAACAAGCGTTTCGCTCACGTCCTCTGTTTGAACCACAATTCTATAAATACTTCCTTCAAATACAAATAATCGCCAACAGAACCTAAACACCTAACCTAACCTATGCCCAACTATACATAAAATTTGTTTGTATAATAGTAATTGATATATGAGAACAAACTAATGTGTATTACACATTATGTTAAAATTGATGAATGCTTCTGGGGAAGACGGCCGCTGCTTTAACCAGCCTAATGTGAGGACGGGTTGTCTGGGGAAGACAGCCGCTGCTTTAACCAGCCTAATGTGAGGACGGGTTGTCTGGGGAGGACGGCCGCTGCTTTAACCAGCCTAATGTGAGGACGGGTTGTCTGGGGAGGACGGCCGCTGCTTTAACCAGCCTAATGTGAGGACGGGTTGTGTGGGGAGGACGGCCGCTGCTTTAACCAGCCTAATGTGAGGACGGGTTGTCTGGGAAGGACGGCCGCTGCTTTAACCAGCCTAGTGTGAGGACGGGATGTCTGAGGAGGACGGCTGCTGCTTTAACCAGCCTAGTGTGAGGACGGGTTGTCTGGGGAGGATGGCCGCTGCTTTAACCAGCCTAGTGTGAGGACGGGTTGTCTGGGGAGGACGGCTGCTGCTTTAACCAGCCTAGTGTGAGGACGGGTTGTCTGGGGAGGACGGCCGCTGCTTTAACCAGCCTAGTATGAGGACGGGTTGTCTGGGGAGGACGGCCGCTGCTTTAACCAGCCTAATGTGAGGACGGGTTGTCTGGGAAGGACGGCCGCTGCTTTAACCAGCCTAGTGTGAGGACGGGATGTCTGAGGAGGACGGCTGCTGCTTTAACCAGCCTAGTGTGAGGACGGGTTGTCTGGGGAGGACGGCTGCTGCTTTAACCAGCCTAGTGTGAGGACGGGTTGTCTGGGGAGGACGGCTGCTGCTTTAACCAGCCTAGTGTGAGGACGGGTTGTCTGGGGAGGACGGTCGCTGCTTTAACCAGCCTAATATGAGGACGGGTTGTCTGGGGAGGACGGCCGCTGCTTTAACCAGCCTAGTGTGAGATAAGGTTGTCTGGGAAGTAATACTTCCTGCTCAGTGTGCGCGGGATTCTTGTTGTCATCGAGGAAAGATTCTTTATACAAATTTAGTTAAGCATTATTTTAATCGCCACAAGACACATTGTCACACAGCATACAGAACGAGTCAGGGTGGGGGGGGGTTATCTTCTTCTTGAGGTTATTTTGTGATGATTTCGGGGCTTAGCGTCCCCGCGGCCCGGTCCTCGACCAGGCCTCCTTTTTATTACACATCCCCAGGAAGCAGCCTGTAGCAGCTGTCTAACTCCCAGGTAGCGATTTACTGCTAGGTAAACAGGTGCATCAGGGTGAAAGACACTTTGCCCCATTTGTTTCTGCCATCGCCGAGGATCGATCCCCGAACCCTAGGACTACGAATACCGAACGCTGTCCACTCAGCCGTCAGGCCCCCCTTAAACTGTAATTTTGATGAAAATGTTTTTTTATAACTGTTGTACAGACTCGTTCGAATATTTGTCATGAATATTAGTAAAATGTAACATATGCATATTTATCTACTAACTTTGAAAACCTTTGTGTGCCAACAGTTGCGGTGGTGATGTCAGTGGATGACGCAAGAGACGTCACCCGCAGGAATGATGTTACTCCTGCTGACGTCCGGAACTTCATAATAAACAACATCAATCGAGACAACATAAGGCGTTCCCTTAGGTAAGATGTTGCAATACCTGTAGTAGCTCGTCTAGAGTTGGCCTCAAGATACACGTGAAAACTGTGCGTACATACCTAGTTGTACTTACATAGTTGTGCTTGCGGGGGTTGAGCTTTGGCTCTTTGGTCCTGCTTCTCATCTGTCAGTCAACTGGTGTACAGATTCCTCAGCCTACTGGGCTCTATCATATCTACATTTAAAACTGTGTATGGAGTCATGCAGCCTCCACCACATCACTAACTAATGCATTCATTTGTCTACTACTGACACTGAAAAAAATTATTTCTAATGTCTCTATGGCTCATTTGGGCACTCAGTTTCCACCAGTGACCCTTAGTGCGTGTGCCCCCTAGTGTTGAATAGTCTGACTTTATCTACCATATCAATTCCTCTGAGAATCATGTATGTGGTGATCATGTCCCTCCTAACTCTTCTGTCTCCCAGTGACGTAAAGTTTAATTCCCCGTAGTCTTTCCTCGTAGCTCATACCCTTCAGTTTAGGTACTAGTCTGGTGGCAAACCTTTGATCCTTTTCCAGTTTAGTATTATGCTTAGTATTATGCTTAACTAGAACGGGCTCACCATAGCCCATGATATTTGGAACTTTTTGTTCTAGTTAGCAAATCTTAAACAACAACTAAATAACTTAACTGCTTAACTAGATATGGACTCAATGCTGGAGCCGCATACTTCAGGATTGGTCTGACATATGTGGTATACAAAGTTTTGAATGATTCCTTACACAAGTTTCTAAAGGCCTTTCTTATGTTAGCTAACCGGACATATGCCACTGATGTTATCCTCTTGATATGGGCATCAGGGGACAGGTCTGGCGTGATATCAACCCCCCAGGTCTTTCTTTCTCGTTGACTCTTGAAGTATTTCATGTCCCAAATGATGCCTTGTATCTGGTCTCCTGCCCCCTATACCTATGTTCATTGCATTACATTTGCTTGTGTTAAACTCTAACAACCATTTGTTCGATCATTCCTGCTGCTTGTCCAGGTCTTCTTGAAGCCTCAAGCTGTCCTCCTCTGTCTTATTCCTTCTCATAATTTTGGCATCGTCAACAAATATTGAAAGGAATGAGTTTATACCCTCTGGAAGATCATTTACGTATATCAGAAACAAGATAGGACCGAGTACAGAGCCCTGTGGGACTCCACTTGTGACTTCACGCCAATCTGAGGTCTCTCCTCTCACTGTAACTCTCTGCTTCCTATTGCTTAGGTGCTCCCTTATCCACTGGAGCACCTTACCAGTTACTCCTGCCTGTTTCTCCAGCTTATGCATCAGCCTCTTGAGGGATACTGTGTCAAAGGCTTTCCGACAGTCCAAGAAAATGCAGTCTGCCCATCCTTCTCTTTCTTGCTTAATCTTTGTCACCTGATCGTATAATTCTATTAAGCCTGTAAGGCAAGATATACCCTCCCTGAACCTATGTTGATGGGTTGTCATGAAGTCTCTTCTCTCCAGATGTGTTACTAGGTTTTGTCTCACAATCTTCTCCATCACCTTGCATGGTATACAAGTTAAGGACACTGGCCTGTAGTTCAGTGCCTCTTGTCTGTCACCCTTTTTGTATATTGGTACTACATTAGCAGTCTTCCATATTTCTGGTAGGTCCCCCGTTTCCAGTGACCTACTATACACTGTGGAGAGTGGCAAACAAAGTGCTTCTGCACACTCTTTCAATACCCATGGTGAGATTCTGTCTAAGCCTATAGACTTTCTCACGTCCAGATCCAAAAGATGCCTCTTGACTTAATCTCTTGTAATTTCGAACCCTTCTAAGGCATACACACACAACCACACACACACACACACACACACACACACACACACACACACACACACACACACACACACACACACACACACACACACACACACACACACACACACACACACACACACACACACACACACACACACACACACATCGATCGTGAACGATCTTCCAGAGGTTATAGACTCATTCCTCTCAATGTTTGCTGATGATGCAAAAATTATGAGAAGAATCAAGACGGATGAAGATAGACAGAGACTACAGGATGACCAGGATAAACTGGAGGAAAGGTCTAGAAAATGGCTGCTAAACTTCAACTCAGGAAAGTGTAAGGTGATGAAGTTAGGCGAAGGGAGTAGGAGGCTGAACACAAGGTATCATCTGGGAGGGGAAATCCTGCAAGAGTCAAATAGAGAGAAGGATTTGGGGGTTGATATCACACCGAGCCTGTCCCCAGAGGCCCACATCAAAAGAATATCATCAGCGGCATATGCTAGATTGGCCAACATAAGAACTGCCTTTAGAAACTTGTGTAAGGAATCTTTCAGAACCCTGTATAGCACTTATGTAAGACCAATCCTGGAGTATGCAGCTCCAGCCAGGAGTCCATACCTAGTTAAACACAAGACAAAGTTAGAGAAGGTTCAGCGGTAAGCCACCAGGCTCGTCCAAGAACTGAGAGGATTGAACTACGAGGAAAGGCTAAAGGAGCTGAACCTCACATCCCTGGAAAACAGAAGAGTAAGGGGAGACATGATAACCACCTACAAAATTCTCAGGGGAATTGACAGGGTGGACAAAGACAAACTCTTCAGCACGGGTGGGACACGAACAAGGGGACACAGGTGGAAACTTAGTACCCAGATGAGCCACAAAGACGTTACAAAGAATTTTTTCAGTGTCAGAGTAGTTAATAAATGGAATGCACTAGGAAGTGATGTGGTGGAGGCTGACTCCATACACAGTTTCAAATGTAGATATGATAGAGCCCAGTAGGCTCAGGAACCTGTACACCAGTTGATTGACAGTTGAGAGGCGGGACTAAAGAGCTCAACCCCCGCAAGCACAATTAGGTGAGTACACACACACACATATTTCCATTTCATTATGAATAAGTTAATTTGTTTAATTTTGAGTTAAAACTAACGTAGATATATGACCTAACCTAACCAACCCTACCTAACCTTACCTGACCTGTCTTAACCTAACCTATATATATATATATATATATATATATATATATATATATATATATATATATATATATATATATATATATATATATATATATATATATATATATATATATATATATATATATATATATATATATATATATATATATATATATATATATATATATATATATATATATATATATATATATATATATATATATATATATATTTTCAAATTCAAATGTTTATTCAGGTAAAGTAACATACATACAAGGGGTGATACAAAAATTGATAGATTTATAGATAGGGCTAGTACATACAATGCCTAAAGCCACTATTACGCAAAGCGTTTCGGGCAGGAAAAACATTAAAGACTAAAACTTAATACTAATTGAGATTAAAGTATAAAATGTGTTGAGAAAAAATAAAAATAAAAAAGGGGGAACATGGCAGAAAAATAGCAAAAATACAATTAGGTTGACAAACAGCATTGTTTAAAAATAACAGACATGGGTTGACAATATAGGGGTAAGGTAGGTTATATATATATATATATATATATATATATATATATATATATATATATATATATATATATATATATATATATATATATATATATATATATATATATATATTATTAAATATGACCGAAAAAGTAAGATTAATAATTCTAACACGAATTTTCTCAATCTTTCGTACATTACGCTTCACTGTTGGAGGTAAATCAAAAATTAATTCTCCAAAATTCATTTTTATTCTAGTCTGACGCGACACGGGCGCGTTTCGTAAAACTTATTACATTTTCAAAGACTTTAGCTCACAAATACACAACTGAATAGAACTTACGTATCTCCGATTTTATATCTACATTTGAGTGAGGTGGGAGGGGTGATGTGGCATTAACACAAGACAGAACAAGAGGGGATATTAATAGGGTATTAAAAGTATCAACACAAGACAGAACACAAACAATGGGTATTGAATAGAAGTGTTTGTAGAAAGCCTATTGGTCCATATTTCTTGATGCTTCTATATTGGAGCGGAGTCTTGAGGTGGGTAGAATATAGTTGTGCAATAATTGGCTGTTGATTGCTGGTGTTGACTTCTTGATGTGTAGTGCCTCGCAAACGTCAAGCCGCCTGCTATCGCTGTATCTATCGATGATTTCTGTGTTGTTTACTAGGATTTCTCTGGCGATGGTTTGGTTGTGGGAAGAGATTATATGTTCCTTAATGGAGCCCTGTTGCTTATGCATCGTTAAACGCCTAGAAAGAGATGTTGTTGTCTTGCCTATATACTGGGTTTTTTGGAGCTTACAGTCCCCAAGTGGGCATTTGAAGGCATAGACGACGTTAGTCTCTTTTAAAGCGTTCTGTTTTGTGTCTGGAGAGTTTCTCATGAGTAGGCTGGCCGTTTTTCTGGTTTTATAGTAAATCGTCAGTTGTATCCTCTGATTTTTGTCTGTAGGGATAACGTTTCTATTAACAATATCTTTCAGGACCATTACCTCCGTTTTATGAGCTGTGGAAAAGAAGTTCCTGTAAAATAGTCTAATAGGGGGTATAGGTGTTGTGTTAGTTGTCTCTTCAGAGGTTGCATGGCTTTTCACTTTCCTTCTTATGATGTCTTCGACGAAACCATTGGAGAAGCCGTTATTGACTAGGACCTGCCTTACCCTACAGAGTTCTTCGTCGACTTGCTTCCATTCTGAGCTGTGGCTGAGAATGGAAGTAAGTCGACGAAGAACTCTGTAGGGTAAGGCAGGTCCTAGTCAATAACGGCTTCTCCAATGGTTTCATCGAAGACATCATAAGAAGGAAAGTGAAAAGCCATGCAACCTCTGAAGAGACAACTAACACAACACCTATACCCCCTATTAGACTATTTTACAGGAACTTCTTTTCCACAGCTCATAAAACGGAGGAAAGGGTCCTGAAAGATATTGTTAATAGAAATGTTATCCCTACAGACAAAAATCAGAGGATACAACTGACGATTTACTATAAAACCAGAAAAACGGCCAGCCTAC